TCAATTAAGCCTTGTCCAAATAATTGATCCGAATCAGCCGATAAGATGTATAGTGACTCAACACTTTGTAATGTCGTGCAAAAGCCGTTTGTGTTATTGTTCTGCATCTGAACCATCAGCTGAGCTGCACTATTATCCCACCTAGATAAAGAAAAATAGTTAACAATGTATTTGGTCATGGAAAAATATCCCGCAGAGCTCACCAAGAAATAGCCGATTCAGCTTGATTGGTACAGTTCGCTAAGGATGTTATTAATTTGTATATGAATGGTGATAATGTAATGTTTAACGCTTTTAATTTCATGTCGACTTGGCTTAGATTGGCAGGCAGTAAATGTTGTATACTTGATGGCATCGCAACATAATTTTTGATTCCACTATCATCAACACGTTGTACAGCAAGTAAATCTCAAATAGAAATAATGCACACATAAATATAAAGAAAGAATATTTATAGGGGTTGGAAAGTTCAGTACAGAATGGATTTAGACAAATATGTGTTGAAGAGGAAGGAGGAAGGGGACGAGAAACGGTGAATGAATCTTAACTAGTTCTCGTTATTTCTTTGAAATGTTGAAACTGATCAGTAGTAACATGAATATTTTTTACCTAAGAAGACATTTGAACTAGTGCCTGATGGTTTTGCCAAATACGGATAGGTTCCTAAGCTTGGATTCGGTATAAGTGTTGGATAAGCAGATAATGATTGAAACTGACCACCTACAAAAACAAAGACATTAGAATAAATTAAATCGAAGCTCACTTCAATTACTAACCGGATACATAGAGTGTTCCTATTTTCGATACAATTGAGCGATCTCGAGTGATAGCTGCAGCAATATTTGTGAAGGGACCCAGAGCCAAAATATCCACTGGTCGCCGTGAATATTTCAATGTATAGATAATCAACTCAACTGCATCAAATGGTGATGGTTGCAAAAAAATGTCGGTCGACTGATTGAGACAAGAGGACGATGTTAGATAGTTATCGATGCCCGCAAGAATTGAGTTTGCTACAGTCCAACCAGTTGATAATGATGATACACTTCAAGATAAAAAATTAAAAGTAAAATAATTTATATATTATACAATGATAACCTGAATCCACTAGCGACTGGAATACCATCTGTACAACCAACTAATCCCAGAAGACTGAGAACATTGCTCGACGAATATAATGGTGCGCTAATAAAATAGAGAATTGTTTAAACATAGATATGACTTAAATTTACCTAAACCCATCTCCAACAGTTGTAATGGCGAGAATATCAACCGTTGGAACCTTTAATTACAACAACAATAATAATAAGAAGTGAAACAAAAATAATTTACATTAATCAAATAAAGAATAGCCCATAAATCATCAACATCAACGTCAGTATCGATGATTACCGGTTGTCTAGTAATATCCTGCCCAATGCAGTTTTGAACTAACTGCAGATTCGTAGTGCTCACTGAAAAATAGAAGAAGAAGAATATAAAAACATACTTTTATTCAGTTCTTTCAAAATTCGTCAAAGAATTATTTTGTGGTGAAATCTATGATGTCTTTAGTTATCACGTGTTTCCACACTATTGTCGAGAGAACTAATTATTTCATCATTCTCTAAAGTCTGTACCTGTAGTAGTTGTAACTTGGGATGTCGTTCCACTATTGACTTGATTCGTTGTCACCGTATTAGATGAACCTGTAAAGTAGAAGAACAATAAAATCTTATAAGCATTGCGGAAACTATAGTGGGCGAAGGATGGTGTGAACTACTAAATCATTTACAACTTTTATACGTTCTATACATGATACGTGTCTCTTATGGATAAATATATTTTAGATATATATTTATGTAATTACGGTAAATTTTTAAAAACGATTTTCATGACTTACCAGGAACTACTAGGTATTACTGGACTTTACTAAAGACTAATAGGGATACTAGGGAACACTACGACCAACAGCTCCGCTCTCACCCACATCGAGATAGTGTGCCCTTTGAGAGTATAACATATTCACCTACACCCTCAAGATAGTTTTTCTACTTACCCGATGAAGATTTTCTGGTGAGACCAACTGGGACCGCAACAGCAATAACGAGTAACACACCAATTGCCAAACCAATACCAAGCCCAATTAGGCAAGGTTTCGAACAGCGCCCGCCAGATCTATTGAAAATAATAAAACAAAACGGAGATGTCTTGCAAAAATAGGAAGGTAATCACTTCTAATTTCAGTGTACTTTATGCATCAAGGAAAAACGTCCTTTCAGAAAATAATAGCTCTCACTAGTGTATCTGAGCCATAAAAATGAGACTGTCTGTTAGTTTTTGTAGAGAAAATGAAACTGTGTAATTAAAAATCGATATTTCACTCAGAGTGCATCAACTTAATCAATTGTTTGGCTTTTGCATCGCTACCGTGCAATGCCGAGATTTTTTACACTGCAGGCGGAACAGTCTTTTTTTCGTGGTTCCTTTCTAATCATAAATCAAGAGACTTAACTGAAATAAGTTAACCTCATCTATGCTCTCCTCAAAGACCAAATACTGTCTCTCTTCTATGTTCGTTTCACAGTTTATCGGCAGAGATTTGTATTGTAGAATCTACTGCATTAAATGGAATCAACCTACTATTCTTTAGAATGAATGTATAATTTAGTTCAAACAATTATTCACCAGGTTGTAGGAAAAAATAAAAACACTTACGGCTTAGAAGTTTGATGCTTATTACCATTTTGTGCTTCCTGATCTTGGCTTTCTTGATTTTGAGGCCTTGCTTGTGATGATGGATTTATGTACCCTACTGTTTGTGTATTATTCGGATCATTCAAATTCATAACGATGCGAACGTCATCTGGAGTAGTTTCGGGCACTGATGTCATTGTAGTTCAATACTGAAAAGTAATTTATCAATACTTATTCGAATGTTAGTAGAAAGTTCTAAGAAAACTAATAAATATGAAGTTTTTATGTCCCAAATATACCGAAAACCTTGAATCAAATGGAAAAAAAAACTCGAACAGTATCTAAGAGTTAAAAGATAAGTTTCATATTCCTAAGTCGGGCCGAAACTTCTCTCATTTTGATTCATTATACATTTATCAATAATATTATTATATCTATGATAAGAGAATCGAAAATAAAGCTGTAGTAAACTCTTCAATTAACCATTTAAGAATATGAAATATCTTTGCTGATCTACCTCGTTCATAGGCAAATAATTTCTTTGTCTAGCTGTAAAACTAATAAGAAAAAATATTTACAACCGTATTTTTTACCAGTAGAATAAGCTATAATATTTAAAGATATCATTTATATTCTTTAAACTACAATTAAATAGTATAATTTCACTTACTGTTAAATAATACCTAACGATAATTAAAGCCGAAAAAGAATGAATAAATAAAACATCGAGAAAGACACTGTTTTATATCTACTTTATTGCAGTGATCGCTGATCCGTCCATCGTCGTTTTATTCATCTTGAATAAAAAACAGTAATCAGTCCGAGAACGAAGCTTTTAGACGACGATATTTTTCGATTATTTGCATTACGAATCGAAAATTAAGAATAAAAGTACAAAAAAGTACCCATCAGCGCACGTTTTATCTTTCCTTCCTTGCATTCATCATTAATACATACACTCTTCAGTCAATCGAACGAAAGAGTCAGCACATAGTTAAGCAGACAAAACTTCACGCAAAGTATTATTGATTATATACCTAAAGAATATTGTTTTTGATAATATATATCGGGTACGGCATAGAGAATGATACCATTAGTATTTTGCTGGTATCTCTGCCATTTTTTATGGCAGAGATTTGAACTTAGCTTTAAAAGATTTCTTACTCAATTTTCTACAAAAACGTCAGAATAAAATAAATAAAATCTATAATCGTGAAGTCAAGATTAGTCAATAATATTATGTCCGACAAATGATCACTTTCTAACACATGATTTTAGGAAATTAATTATTTCACTACTACTGTATAACTCATGTAGAGAAAAAAATCTATGAAAAATATGATTCAAATCGATTTTCTTGTAAACATCAGAAAAAATGGATTAAATTTGATCAAATTTTTGGTTTTAATTTATTTGTTGAGTTTTAATCAGTTAAAATCCGTTAATTCACTCAAAATAATGTATTATAATTGATTTTCCAATGATAATCCATGATAGTCGATTAAACAGAATTGAATAGTACATTTTCATCAATTTTTCAAATATACATCGGTTTTAATCGATTAAATCGTTCAAACTAATATTTCATAATCGATTTCGCTAATGAAAACCTATTTTAATCAATTATTTTTCAAAAATGAACAGATTTTAATAGATTCTTTAAAGTATTAATCAATTTTTAGAAAAAATATCACAGTTAGATTTGTTTCTTTTTTATTGAAATTTATTTGATTGTTCAAAGGATTCGTGTCATTATGCAATTTTTGGATGATAATATATTACTCATAGCAGTATGTAAGATTGTATTTCGTAACTTTGATAGATATAAAAGAATGGTTAAAAAACAATTGTGTTGATGATGAAACACTACCTGTTCTCTTTCTTTCTATCAGTTTCATTAGTTAGTGTGCAATTTGTGCTTTTTGTGTTAGTATATAAGAGTAAAAACAATGAAATAAAAAGCATACTTACCTGCCACAGATGCATTTATGATCAGAGTGGTGAATGCTCCAGGTTGAGACGGGAGCATTGCACATCCCCCTCATTGACGCCTGTGAGTAAGTTCACATAGGACTTGCTCAAGTGGATAATTTATTTTGCGGTCATTTGCGTTCGCGCATTGGCCATTATAATAAAATCAAAATGAAAACTATTAGAAAAAAATGGCGACTATTTTTCTAATACTTGAGATCTACATATTAAGGAAGTGGATGTCAAATCAATATAATATCAACGTCAAAACGCTTTATTTTTATTTTTGCCAAGGTCGAAGTTGTTGCTAGCACAATTAATGATTTAGTATCGATAGTTAATCTAACTCGTCGCGAACAAGATGAAAAGAAAAAACAGAACAGTTGTAAAAATTCTTTAATGATGATTTACCAAAAACATTTACGAAACCTTGAAGTTTTATCAAGCTTATATGGTCATGGTGGTTATTATTTCGTTGGTAACAATTTAACATTGGCAAATTTATCATTCTTTGATACTGGAGAAACTCTTTTTCGATTAGATGCACACGGTTTACATAACTATCCATGGTCTATCAAGTAAACAAACTAAATGTAGAGTAAAAGTAATGAAAATCTTATTTCAATGAAAATTTTCGATCCTTATCGCTCATTATCAACCAAAAACACGAATATGATATAAGTACAATTATGTTAAAAATATACATGAAAACTGAAAAACTATTTTACAACAATATCAATAACAACATAAACAACTGACAATGATTTTATTTGTCACCAGTAATAAATTCGTTTAATTAAATCTTTATTTTAACACGATTGAATTTATTTCATATACCTATATACTTACTAATAACTCATGTAAGAATAGCTACTGTATAATAATAATAATGTATGAAAAATATAATGAAGACATGAGATTTAATGCTAAATCTAATAAATGAACTAAAAGTATTTGTAACATCAATATATTTGTATTTTGTTTGTGGTTTTGGTTGATAATGAACGATAAGAATCGAGAATTTCCATTAAAATAAGATTTTCATTACATTTACTCTACATTTAGTTCGTTTAGTTGATATTGCATTAAAATCTCATATTTTCATTATTTTTATACATAACTATTCATGATTAAAACAAAATCGTCTTCTAGTTGCAAGTCAACCAAGAATTACAGAATATCTGAGAAATCGACCAAAAACAGCATTTTGAAAAATAAAACAAAATCAGGAAAAATTCATAAAACTTTTCAAAATTGTTTCTTTTATTCATTTCGCCTATTCTTTTAATGTCCACGTTTTTAATGGATGTTGACATCATCGTCTATTATTATTTGAAAAATAAAAAAAACCTTGTGAAAGTAGTAGAGAAAACAGAATAATATAAATACTGTTTTTATTATAAGTCGATAAACCAGCTAGATTCAACGGCAGTTGCAATGCATATATTCTTAGAAATGAGACCATCGGGTGTGAGTGTGAGTTTGATATATCAATCACACCGATATCATCCTCAAGATGAGATATCAATCATGGGTTTGAATTAAGATGAACTGTAATTACTTAAGTCAAAATATCAGTCTAAAACCTCGTCTGGTATCTTGAGTATAGGTTTGTGAGTATTAATGATAAAAAGAGCTATCTGTACGCCAGCAGACTTGCACAATATTAATAAAGATGAAGTCAAATAGAGAACGGTCAGTGTGGGTGAGAAAGAATGTTATAAATAAAGAAAAAAACTCACATTGTCATCCACAATAAAATGGTGCTATTCTTATTCAAATCAATTAGTGAATATCGAGTAAGAATAAACATTCAAAAATGAATTTAGTCCCTGTAAATTGGTTTGAAGGATACATGATGTCATTTTGAATTTATTCTCAAATTGTTACCGATTAATACAGAAAACTATCAATAAAATCAACAATCCAATCAATATGTAAATAACCGATATACCAACAATAGTGAGAAATATAATTGACATAGCAGCAGTAACTTCAGGAAGATTATCCTTCGCTGTTTGAGTGATAAACTGGACAAGAATAATGATGTGTTGTACGAAGTAGATGGCGCATTCTAATGGTTGTAACCAGATAAGAAAATCACCTATACGAGCAAACCAACTAAGTTGCTCTCGACATTTTCTTGCAACATAAGCACATGTAAATGAAAGTACGGTGGCATACATCAGAGCGTTAAGTAGATGAAGTCCAGCTGAAAAACCGACCGTACAGAATTGTGGCGAGTTCATCGAATCAATAATCGACTGCAATTGAGCGCGATGCATAGCATATTCGATTGAACTGTATGTACCATTGACAGGTAGTATACGGTCCATCGTTGAGTATGTCGTCAAAGCAATAATACAGATGCAAAACGGAGGTAGAATCTTCCATAGGACATTCGTTTTCATAAACGAGCAAAGAGGATGCGGTGAAAGAAAATTTGTCATGTTGAATGATTGCTTGTTGTTTCATTCATTTTCTATTTCTTTTGGTTACGAGGACGCAGAACGTATGAAGAAAAAGAAAAAGGTAACAGCATTTTGATCACATTTCTGACTAAATTGGAAAGAAAACAGAACCCACACGTGTATTAATGATTTTTTTTTCAAGTAAACAAGTACTTGTTTTTCTTCAATTTAAAATACGATTACTATCTTGCTTGACAGCTCAATAAACATGCGACGAATGTATGTGGTAGAGAAATGAAAATGGATATGAGTGTGAGTGAGAATAGAGTAACTAACACTCATACTGAAATTATATTTTGTTACACTTCTCGATTTGATAATATCGTTTCACAAAATTCGTCAGCAAAAGATTTTTTCAATTGTTGAAAATTAAGATGTAATGAACTAATTTGAATAAGTAAGCTTTAAACGATAGTTTAATCGATCAAATGAATATTTCATCTTAGTCAACATTACATGCAGTGACAAAACCAGCATTACTTCTGTTTTCTTCGTTTAAGTCATACATACATATATGTTTTTTATTATACTTTTAACAACTCATTTTATAAATAACCAATAGGCACAAAAAAAACGAATGAAAAAAATAAATTACTTTTCCTAACTCTACATGACTTATCTCTTACTTTATTTGTTGTTTATTTAGATATTCTCATGGAGAAGAGAACAAGTGCTAGTTTGTTACTATAACCAAAAGTATTTATATAAAATTTACAAGAGAATTCTTTCTTGTTTTATCGAAATTTATTTGATTG